TTATGCTTGCTTGGATAAGAAACAAGAAGGGAAATGCAAATGTAGCCACTATAGGAGACTCTTCAGCCCCTCTTTCCCAAACTGATTGGGAATCCATTGCAGTAGCAGCAGTGAGAACAGAATTGGAGAGGTTTGGACAACTTATGAGTAAGAAAGATTCACCTAGCTCTAGCCTTCCAGATGGACAGCAGAATGCAGGAGCCAACTACACCACTTCCTTTGCACATACAGGTAGTTCATATGCAATTGCAAATCTTGCATCCACTTCAGGTAAGGAGGGACCTCCTTGGATTATAGACTCAGGAGCATTTGAGCATATGACTAATGCCCCTACCCTTTTCAGTTCCTATCATTTATGCTCTGGTAGAGACAGAGTCTCTACAACGGAGTGTTCACATATGCCCATTGCTGGGAAGGGGACAGTTAGAGTGACCAATGATATAACTTTGTCTTCTGTTTTACATGTCCCTAGACTTCATACCAACCTACTGTCTGTTAGTTCTTTGACAAAAAAATTGAATTGTTCCGTGACCTTTCTTCCTGGTAATTGTGTTTTGCAGGATCTGGAGTCAAAGAAGATGATTGGGAGTGGTCGTGAGGTGAATGGAGTCTACCTTCTGGATGAGATTCCGAGACATCGGGGCCATCATGTTAGCAGTAGCAGTAGTAGTGGGTCAGAGTCAGTGAACCAGATTATGCTTTGGCACAATCGCTTGGGACATCTTTCTTTTAGTTCTTTGAAATGTCTTGTCCCAAAGTTGTTTGAGTCTGTTCAGTTATCTACTTTGGAGTGTGAGAGTTGTTAGTTAGGAAAGCATTGTAGATAGTCTTTTAAACCAAGTAATAAAAGAAGTACTTTTACTTTTAATATTGTTCACACTGATGTATAGGGGCTATATCATATCCCTTTCATGGGAGGATTCCGTTACTTTCTCTTGTTTGTGGATGATTATACATGATGTTCTTGGATATATTTGATGAGATCACGTGATGAGGTTCCTAACTTGGTACAACAGTTCCATCAGATAGTTTCTCACACAATTTGGAGTGAGAACTAAGGCTTTTAGATCAGATAATGCCAGAGAGTACTTTGAGAAGGACTTGACCACGTATCTCTTAGAACATGGTGTAGTTCATCAGAGCAGTTGTGCATAGACACTGCAATAGAATGGAGTTGCTGAGAGGAAAAACAAACACATTGTGGAGGTGGCAAGGAGTCTTATGGTGTGTGCTTCAGTTCCTGTGCAGTTCTGGGGAGATGCAGTTCTTATAGCCGTGCATTTGATTAACCGTGTTCATTCACGGAATTTGGGGTTTAAGGTGCCATTTAGTCTTCTTTTTCTAGATGGGGAGATATTTCATATACCTCTGAGGGTTTTTGGTTGTGTTTCTTTTGTTCACATTCTTGGCCCTGATCGCAAGAAATTGGATCCTAAGGCCAAGAAATGTGTTTTTCTTGGGTATGTTCAGAACCAAAAGGGGTATTGCTGTTATGACCCAGTGTTGAGGAGGAAATTTGTCACTATGGATGTTACCTTCTTTGAATCCACCTTCTTCTTCTCGAGTGGTTCTCCTCAGGGGGAGAGTTTTGGGGAGGAGAACTCACAATCTGTTCCTCTTCCTGTTTCTTTGGTGCCTCCATCAGTTCAGCCAACACCTCCATCAATTCAGCCAACACCTCCATTAGTTCAGCTAGCATTTGCATTAGTTCAGCCAACACCTCTAGTTTCATTACCTGAGCAACTACGGGTAGCCTTACAGAAATATTAGCGCCGACAGGTGATGGTTGACTCCACACATCCTCAACCCACACCACTCTGTCAGTCCTTCTAAAACTCCAGATTTGGCAGATATAGTTCCAGGTATTCCTCTTGAGACTGAGCCTGTTATGTTTTCTGATGATAATGTTTCTGTCCCTAACACCATTGTTGCAGCTGATCCCACTGACATTGATCTTCCCATTGCACTTCGTAAGGGGAAGAGAAAGTGTACAACCCACTGCATTT